CATGTAGGCAGGTTGAAGCATGTTCTAGATAGATGCTGCCCCGAAGGGCAGGGTAAGGGTTAATGCCTTTCCTGGTTCTTTAGTTTTTGGTGGGTTATCACGAAGTCCGACCCACTAAGCCTGTGATATAAAAGAGGGACAGTGGTCCGGAACAGAGAGTCCCAGAGTGTCTGAGAGTTCCCCTAAGAGAGAGCCCATAAGGGAGAAGACCAGAAGAGCCACACCTAGGAGGAATACAAGAATGTCACCTGCTACTGCCATAATATAGAAGGTCTTCTGCACCTGGGGTTTTGCCCCCAAAGATACCAGCTATTAGAGAATGCCTCTGATGGGCCTTCTAACAGATGGATTATACCTCTTGCAGGTATGTTGGGATAGCACATAGTCTGAGGAAGAATAATCCTTTTTTGCATTTTGGACTTCAAGATGTTCATTTTGCACTTTTCCAAGTAGAGCTTTGAAACTTTGTTCCCGCCTGGTCTGAAGTTACTCACGGGTGCAATGCAAGTAACCGACACCTATGGTCTAATATTTGGGTCATGTTACACATTGGGGTATGAAGAGTCAACACAAAGAGTCATCCCAGTGCAAGCTATACATGTGGTTGTCATAGGCAACATAGGTAGAGTCAGCGAGCAGCCTGTCGATAGTGTGTTTCTGTTATAGGTAGAACTGCCTCTAGCTGCGAGGGAGATGTCAGAGCTCCCTACTCAGTACTCTCCCATAGCAAATGGAGCAGATTTGCACTGCAGAGGTCCCCATCCTGTACAGAGGTACAAAGGTTCAAGAGTTAAAGTCAAGTGCATATTTGAGCCCGCGCTAGGTGCACAGTGGTGTTCTGTTCCGCTGCTGGGATCAGTGGAAAATGCTGGACAGGTGGCTGTGGCCAGTGTTTGGCATGGCCTGTAGCTTGCAGACCAGTGTTTGGCATGGCCTGCCTAATTGCAAGTTACAGTGGGAAGATGTACATTTACACAGAGACCACAGAGTTAACTGGACAACAGTTATGGCGCAAGTATACATGGTGTACGTTCATCCCTATGAGTAGATGCCTGCCTTAAGGTCCAGCATTCCTCAACGGCAACCTCAGCTTTGTCCCAGGGCATTAATGAAAATGGCACAAAGTAAAGGTAGACCATGTGTAGTGAAAGTGATCCTGTTACAGGTAGCGTAGCCCAGAAGAAACCACCCCAGGGGTAGTCGTCTTATGTGACCCAGACTTGGTGCCCAACTAGTTAACTGGGAAAACATGGAGGAAGGTCCTGCCTATCCCAACCCCTACAAACATTTGGGTTTATATGCACATAGCTGACTCCATTCTGTATTCACAGAAAATTTATTGAATATGTTAAGCTGGCTAATTAAACTTAGAATAGCCACTTACTCACAATAAACATTGCCCAACTATCTAGCTTTTCTAATTTGTTTTACTTGGTATCAGTTTTTGTGTTCTGCAGAGGTGGAATTCTTACTAGTAATCATCAAATGCAAGGCATGAATATAATCTTTAGAGGCAAGATACAGCAGGCATGGAGCATTACAGAGTAGTCTTTGAACCATTTGAGATGGGTTTGGACATTTTATTATCTCACAGCTGATCAAAGAAACCTGTGCCAAAAAAGATATTGAAGCTTCTGTTGGTAATGATGTTCTAAAAATGCTAGCTTTCTAGCTGCCATCAGCTTCAGTACTTTCTGAGTCACTGACCTGTAACAGGCATGCAGATTGGAAAGTCAAAGTGAAGTCAGAATATCTGGACATAATTCATGTTTCAGATCTGTTTCTAGGAAACCATTAAAGCTCTTGGATTATCAAGTAACTAGATAGGGCGGCCTCCATATTCTCTCAGTAAAGATTTTATTAACAATAGTAGCTCTAGAAGGTTTTACCCCCTTCATGACCAGGGCATTTTTTTGCTATTCAGCACTGTACTAAATCAAGCAAATAGAGTTTTCTTTTGGTGGTATTTGATCACCACTGGGTGTTTATTTCTTATTATATAAATGAAAAAAGACAGAACATTTTGAAAATAAAAAATGATATATTGTTATAAAACATCCAATAAACCTGTTCCCACCTGGCCAATAGCAGAATGACAACAGAGCAGGACTCTTGTTAATCTGGGTGGGCATCATATGACGCCCCTTCCCAGATTGCGCCTTGCACATGGGGCTGCGCTGTGGCAAGATCTATCATCGGCTGTGTACCTTGGACACAGCCGATTACAAATCTGTGTCCCGGCGCATTGCCAGTACCATGTGACAAATTACAGCAGGTAACATGACAATTGTAAACAATGGATGGCTTCCTTTTCATCATTGAATACAATTGTGTCACTAACTGTGATTGGTCAGTCTGTGTCATGTTATTAGCTGTGTCCAATCACAGCTAATCACAACAAAAAAACCTGAATTAATCAATTTCATTCAGTTAGATGTTTGCTTATAGCAAATAAATTCTTTGCTATAAGCAGTCATAATGTGTAAAAAAAATACTGATAACTTCCTCAAAGTAGTACAATGTTACTATGGTAACATTATACTACTCTGGTCATGGTGTTTTAGGAAAAAAAAATGTTGAAAAAATGTAATAATTTTTTTTTTTCATTTTGTCACCAGTCAGTGTCCCTGATCACTGCCACACCAGTTATATGATGATGCTGTACTACCCTGGGGACAGTATGTAAAAATAAAATTGTGAAAAACAATTTTTTCAATTTCTTTATTTTCCAAAAAATTATGACAAAACAAATTAGAACATAAAACTTGACAATGACTTTTACTAAATACCTTGGACTGTCTACTTTGCAAAAACGGGTCAGTTGGGGAATATCTGTACTGTACTGACATTTTTGGGCCTCAAGAAATTAAATTGGCCGTCAATACTTTAAGATTGATCAATTTTAAGATATATATCATAGTTTGAGAACTCTATAACTTTCCTACAGACTAAATAATAAATACTGATTTGGGTTATTTTCACCAAAAAAATACAGAATACATATTGGCCTAAATTTATGAAGAACAATTGTTTATTTGCAAAAAATTAGAACAGAAACAAAAAAAAACATGCTTTTATTTCAAAATTTGTATTCTTTTTTCGATAATTTAGCAAAAAATAAAAACTCCAGTGGTGATTAAATACCACCAAAAGAAAGCTCTAGTGTGAACAAAATGATATAAAAATTTAGTTTGGGTACAGCGTTGCATGACCGCGCAATTGTCATTCAAAGTTTGAGAGCGCTGAAAGCTGAAAATTGGCCTAGACAGGAAGGGGGTAAAAGTGCCCAGTACTGAAGTGGTTAAAAATTTTAAAAAAAATAATGTATCCATAAATTTAGGCCAACATGTATTCTGGTACATGTCTTTGGTAAAAAATAAAAAAAATCCCAATAAGTGTATTTCAATTGTTTTGTGTCTACAAACTATGGTATATATACTGGAATTTATGCGGTTATGACGCTATACTGATAATGGCAATGATCAGCAACTTATAGTGAAATAGTGTGGCAGGCAATCTGATGCCAGCTGACACTGGCTGGGAGGTACACTAACTGACTAAATGACAATGAGATCAATAGTGGCATTAATAAATTGATCAGTACTAATACCATACACTGTCACTGTACTAAAGTCACTAGTTGGGAAAGGGTCAACATCTAGGGGCAATCAATATGTGCCTAACAATGTGTAATGTGTGTAATATTTGCTGCTTTTACTAATAGATCTGTATGTTTTTTCTCCCTGCCACGCAAAGCAGTGTGCAGGAGCTGACAGGGGAGAAAACTGTTTTGTTTACAAACAGCTCTCCCCCCACCCCCATCGGAGATGCTCAGCAATCACTGGGCGCCGGCGAGTAATCACCCAGTAATTGACAGCCGCCCCCTACCCAGACATGCAAAATCACATACATATACGTGCTTTTGCGCACCAGTGCCTACTTTAGCAGTACTTCTGTTCCTGCCCAGTGCCATTAGTACAGTGTCAGTGCTTTTTATTAGCATGATCACTGTATTGGTGTCACTGGGGATGTCAGAGACACCAAGTCAGTTCCCTCCAGTGTCAGAATGCCCGCTGCAGTCCCATAGTCCCACTATAAGTTGCTGATCACCGCCATTACTAGTAAAAATACAAATGTAAAAAAAAAAATCCAAGTATATATACCACCATTTGTAAACACTATAAATTTCACGTAAACCAATCAATTTACACATATTGGGATTTTTTTTAGTAAAGACATGTAGCAGAATATATTTTGTCCTAAATTTATGATGAAATTTTATTTTTTTGAATTATTTTACTGGACATGTTTAATAGCAAAAAGTCACAAATATAGTATTTTTCTCACAATTGTTGATCTTTTTTTTTTAATAGCGCAAAAAATAAAAAAACACAGTTCCCCCCAGTGTCAGAATGCTCGCTGCAGTCCCATAGTCCCACTATAAGTTGCTGATCGCCGCCATTACTAGTAAAAATACAAATGTAGAACAAAATCCAAGTATATATACCGCCATTTGTAAACACTATAAATTTCACGTAAACCAATCAATTTACACATATTGGGATTTTTTTTTAGCAAAGACATGTAGCAGAATATATTTTGTCCTAAATTTATGATGAAATTTTATTTTTTTGAATTATTTTACTGGACATGTTTAATAGCAAAAAGTCACAAATATAGTATTTTTCTCACAATTGTTGATCTTTTTTTTTTAATAGCGCAAAAAATAAAAAAACACAGGCGATCAAATACCACCGAAAGAAAGCTCTATTCGTAGAAAAAAAAGGATGTACATTTCATTTGGGAGCAGCGTTACCAGTTAAAGTAACACAGCGCTGTCAGCGAAGCTCTGATAACACAAAAAATTACCTGGTCAGGAAGGGGGGTAAATCGTCAGCAGGGCAAGGGGTTAAATCAAATATTTGGCTACATTCTGATTCAGAATTTTTTTTTTGTTTGTTTTTGTTCAATTTAATTTACCATTCTATTTGCTATTTTTTTTACAGTGTCATCAAAGAATTAAGTATATCATCTGTGTTATGTTCAGAAATATCCACAATGCAAATGAAATAAGAGGTTGCATCAACATACATTATTGCACATAATTGTCTCTTTTTGCATGCTTCATCACAACCCTCATTTGTATCAAAGTTTACTAAGTAATTCCTGTAGTAATTTTGGAATTCAATACTTTTTGGCTTTTGAAACTGTTTGGCAAGTTCATACAAACTTTCAGGCTTGAGATCCTTTATGCCGTACTGTTTGGTCATAACATATTCCAGCTTCCATGTAGCCTTTTGTTTTAGGTTTGCATCAGTGAGATTTAAATAGTAATGCAATAAATCCTAAAAAAAAAAAAGAAAGCAAGATTATTAATGTATTTTTTTTATAAGCCTCTAAATTAAAAAATGTTAGCGGTGGATTGGTACTGTTCTGATGGCAGTTTTGAAGCTTTCCCACCACTTTCTGCCTTTCACACCTTACTATTGGTCAGTGTTGGAGTTTAGAATGAGAATTAGCAAGCTTCAACAGTCCAAGGTTTGGCTGCCCAAACCAAACGGCCTGGTATTCGACATACAGTGGAGCTGGGAGCATGCTGCATGTGTGTGCAGGAACTTCTTTCTGCCTGGCAATATATTTCTTGTAATGATAGTGTTGCTTTAAATCATTTTTTAAAGAGGAGCTTCACCCTGCCTGGATAAATGCTGTCTCTGTCTGAGAAGAAAAAAATGCTTGCTAGTCCATGTGTCTATGATTCCAGTGCGGTCTTGCTTGCTGCTAAAGTTCTCCTTATGCCTCCATCTTGAAACTCCTTTTCACACATGCACAAGCACCCCACAGGTCCCTGACAGATATATGGGACCTATCAGAGACCTGCAGCTTCTCTGTGCATGTAGATCCTGCTCATGTGCAGAGCGACCACAGGTCTGTCAGATCCTGTAATACTTCATCCCTGAGTGACTTGGGTATCACAGAAAGCAGCGAGACCTAAGCATTACATCATCAAGGTAACAGCCCAAATTAAGTGGTATTTACAATACCTACCATTAAAAAACAGCCTGCTATTGTGTAAGAGGGAGGGGTGAAGGAGCAGATGAGAGGAAGTCAATTTTATAAGTGAAGGTCTGCAAGTGATTGCAAAGGTGGAATCTTTTAATTAAAATAATAAACATTGTATACTTAGCTGCCCCTGCCATGATCTTGACTCCTCCTCCCTTTTGAGTGCTCCTATAACAAACTGCTTTCTATGGAGACACTCATGCGGGCTCTCTCCTGAGCCAGACTGTGTGCGTCCAAAGACACACACAGCGCTTATCGGCCCCACCCCCATTCCTTTCTCATAGAATTTGATTGACAGCAGCATAAGCCAATGGCCTGAGGCTGGTCTGAGCATGTGAGAGAGAGAGAGAGAGAGAGAGAGCAGCACTGCACTTTTAGGCACAGCGCTTGGTCCAGATCGCACTCAGTGGTATTTAGTGGGAGCGGGGGGGGGGGGAGCTGATCACAGAAGGTATTTTTCCTTAATGTAGAGAATGCATTAAGATAAAAAAAACTGTAAATCCTCATGCACACTGGATGTTTTTACAGCTGCTGTTTTTGGCTTTTGACGTTTTTTTCTACAGTAAGTAAACTCCCCAGCATGTTATCCTATGTGTCCATGCACACATAGACCGTAAACAGCGTTTTTTGGCTAGGATGTTTTTTGGCTGGAAAAAGAACCCAGAACTAGTGGGTTTCTAGAGTTTTTTAGCTGTAAAAACGCTCTAAAAATGAAAAACGTGGCAAAACGCAGTAGATTAGAAAACTCAAATGCAATAAAAGCAGCAAAACGCCGCTAAGCGTTAATGCAAAAATGCTAAAACCTGCTGAAAAACTCTTGTTTTTAATGTGACTTTACACAGCTAACATTACCAGTGTTGTTAAAATGCCCAGTGTGCATGGAGCCTTAAAGAAAAGTATGGGATTTAAAAAAATAAAAAATACTGTACATACGCATCTAGGTGGATGCAGCATCACTGCTGATTGCTCAGTTCTCAGTCACCAGTGAACAGAGAACCAGTAACTGTCAGACACCTGCTCTCTGCTCTGCCCCTCCTGCGCTCACTGGAGCTCTGGCTGGGGAGGTGGCGGGAGCAGCTGGCTCAGGATTCCAGCGTTCCAGGGGGGCATGCTGAGAGACAGACACAGGTCAGGCATCTGGATGAATCCTGACATTAACCCCTTAACGCCGACGTCACACAAATATGCGGCCTCACAGAACTGGGCTTTTTTCCGTGGGGCTGCATATTTGCGTACCTGTCTTTGTGCTTGGAGCGTGCCGCACAGCGCATTTCCAGCACAAAGACCACGGTGTCACTGAGAGCCCCGGGTCCCGTTCTAACGATCGGGACCCGGGACTCCCAATTCCAACGATCAGGACCCGGGACTCCCAATTCCGGGTCACATGATCGCTGTGATAACCTGATTGGCTATCACAGTGATTAGTCACTGTGCACCCTGACCCCCTTGTTTTTTCTCTCTCTATGTATAGAGAGATACATTGTATCTCTCTAACTCCTAGCATAGAGAGAAAAAAAAATGTTTGTTAAAAAAAAAAAAGATAAATAAATAAATAAATATTAACAAATAAAATAAAAAATAAAGAAAAAATACCTAGATCAAGGTTTGATCTAGTTCAGTGTCAGGGTTATTGTTTGGATCAAGGTCAGGGGCAAAGGTCAAGGTCAAAAGGTCAGGGTCAAAGGTCAGGATTTTTTAAAAAATGGTATCAGTGTCAGTTAGTGTTAATGTCAGTGTCAGTGTGTTTTAGGTAAAAAAAAAAAAAAGACAAAAACAGAATGCGCACTATTGTTTCTGGGCTGTACTACGGGTACAAACAACAAATAACATACACATATATGGTACCCTGCGATTGTCAAGAGCTGGAAAATTTATTTTGGGTTGTTCTTTGATGGTAGGTTATGGTAATAACAAGAAACACACAGCTAAATAAAAAAATGATTTTTTTTTTTTACTATTTTAGGCCAGTTTTCCTTTGATAATAAAAAAAAATCAGGAGATATCCATTACCATTTACCACCAAATGAAAGCCCAATTTGTCCTGGATGTACAAAGTAGTTGTGATATGTACGGTTTTACCAACACATGTCAATGTTGTAAAATAGTGCTTAGGCATTTGGATTTGTTTTACCCTTAGGCGTGAAGGGGTTAAAGTCTGGATCCCTCCAGACTCTGGACTTGCTGAGTGACATCAGCCGACAGCAGACTTTAACCCAATGTTGGCTGAAACACAGGTTCTTCTTCTCCTTTCAGCCTTTAGAACCACTTTATCTGCTTTAACTATATAAATATGGCATAGGGTTCTTTAATAGAGTTGTAGATTTTCCTAGAATTAGACTATTTCTTGAATATATGTTTTTATTCATCAGCTGACAGAACATTCTATTGTTTATTTGATGTTCAGAAAAGTGGCTGACTGCAAAAGTAAAATATCCATTTAATAGGTATGACATGAAGAAAGAGACCTATGTGAAGCATTTCACACTAAAGCCTAATCCCAGAGTCAAAGATGTTCTTCCTTTAAAGCTGTCTCTCTCATCTAACAATGTACTAAACCAGGTGCTAGGAACTTTTAGACTTCCAAGTGTAGACAGAGGAAGGAAAACTTCAAACATGCTCTGGCGTGGAAGCTCCCAAACAGCAAGGCTTCAGCAAGTAGCTCAAACTTGAAATACAGAAAGGAGCACCAGGCCAAAACTGGATAAAAAGGCCCAAGATAATTTTACCTGGTAGTTTAAAAAGTCATATAAAAAAGCTAATATGTTTCAAGGGCAACACCACTTGCCCTTCATCAGAGCTCAACACAGGGTAAAACTTGGAAGAACTTAGAGGAAACTGTGTCTTCATAGATCTACTATATATTAGAACCAGTATTGAACTCTCCGCATGGAGTAACAACTTGACAGCAGTTGCTGAGAAGCAATGGACTCTCTCATCTAACAGATAGCATACAGATAAAACAGGCAGGTGATGTAGCTCAATACTTTGCCATATTGGCTGTAATTGAACAACCTCAGACTTTGGTGTAGTTCCAGATCAGAAAGCAACAGAGTGGTCATACTATCACATACATGTGTAAATGTTGCCTTCATAAACCACCTCCTCCACCTTGGATGTTCAAAATATGATCAGATATTCATCATTTTGACATCTGTTGGAAGCCCATACTGCACTACTGAACCACAACACTGTACTATTATAAAAGCAGGAGTCAGCCAGGAATAATGGCATCACAGACACAGCAGTATACATATAGGAAAGCAATTCTGGGACTCTGCTGCATTTGCTGGGTTCTCTTTATTAGTAGTAGTATACAGCAGAGAAGGTAAAAAACATTTGCCCATTTTTGTCCTAATAGAGCAGCATAGTGACTAAATGGTTAGTACTTCTGCCTGGCAGTACTAGGGTCATTGGTTCAAATCCCAACCATGGCACCACCTGCATAGAGTTTGTATGTTCTCCCTGTGCCTGCATGGGTTTCTTCCTGGTGCTCCAGTTTCCTCCCACACTCCAAAGACATGCTAGTAGGTTAATTGAATCCTGTCTAAATTGGTCCTAGTATGTGTATGTATAAATGTGAGTTAGAGACCTTAGATTGTACGCCCCTTGAGGGTTAGGGACTGATGTGAATGTACAATATATATATGTAAAGCACTGCATAAATTGATAGCACTATATAAGTACCTGAAATAATAATATGAGCACCTTATTGGAAAATGAAAGCCAAATGCTGAAGAAAAGAAAAGGCGTTCCACCGCACTAGCCCCAGTTGCCAAACTACAAATGCAAATTTTTGATTCAGATTTTTTCTAAATGATTAAAGGTTTTATTATAACAATCGCCAGAAAGCATTGCAAATTACTGTGTTATATTATCCATCTTTGCAGTAATTTGTATGTACAACTCAATTTCCCTCAATTATTACACTGGTGTTTGCTCCTATACAATGCTAACTTTTAGCTGATTTTAACAATGAGGTTCTAATGAGGAAATTGGGAAAATGAACCATTTGGAATTGGTGATAAAATGTCGACCTATGAGCCAAAATGCAATTTTATCTAAGGTTTTCAATAATCATACTGATTTAATGCACAAAAAAAATATTATTACACTCCAAAGTGATATTTACTTTTTTGAACTGAGTTTGTACTGTACTGTGAACTGAGCATGTAGAACATTGTGAATACTCACTGATACCGAGGGGGACATTTGTCAATTCTATCACACGGCTGTGCTAAACAGGGGCAGTGAAATAGATTGTATTACAAATGACTTTAAGGGTTCGGTGTAAGCCTGGGTTCACACCATGAATAACAGAAGAATTGCACAAAAAAAGCACCACATTCCTGTGCAAATCTAATGAGATTCTATTTTGAATGGGCTCAAAGTGCACTGCATTGCACCAAAATAGTGCATGCACTACTTTTAGAAATATACTACAGCTGGGTTGCATGGTTGTTTTGTAGCAGGCAAACCGCTGCAGGCAAACGTAGTACATTTGCGACCCGCGTTTGGTGTGTCGTTAACACTGACAACCACTGCAGATTGCAAGGGCAATGAGTTTTGAACATGATGCGGGAAACGTGCATGAATCAAGGGTTCCCTGCACAGTGTTCTAGTGTGAACTGGGGCAAAGTCATAAATTCCTCATCTGCATCTGGGAGTTTTTGCTTGTCTGTCTTGGCATACACAAGTACTGGCATAAGCCCCAGTACAATCCACTTTAGCCTTTAATGTCTATGGAGTGGCTGTATGCAGCACCTGCAGGGAAATAAGGCTGAATTTTACACTGAACGGTCACAGGTGGCCATGTGCAAGTACTCCTTATTGTCTACAGTGTGAACAATCTACAATGATACATTTGTCACAGACCTGTGGAAGTCTGTTACATTTGACTCCCCATTATTACAGGCCTAGATGACACAACTATACTATAAACCAGCCTTTCTCAACCAGGGTGCCCAGACACCCTGGGGTGCCTTGAGGTTTCTTCAGGAGGTGCCTTGTAAAAATGTCTAAAAATTGCCCAATATTTGTATACAAGCCAGCGGTGGAACAAGCCTGCCTTTTAATTACACAAAACCACCGGTTATCATTGTGCACCATTACGACCTTCTAGTGTCGGCATCCTGCCAACTAATGACATCATCATTTGATAAGGAGGATGTCAACTGTATGCACAGCATCCTAGTTTGACTCTCCATCAGTGCTGGGGTCACATAGTTTTTCACATTTTAGAATGCGGTTCCCTTTTAAAATTATGGACAGTCTGGAGGCACCCCATTCTAGAATGGGGTGCCTCAAGACTGTCCATTATTTTAAAGGGTGTCTCGGGACTGTCCATAATTTTAAAGGGTGCCTTGACTTAAAAAAGGTTGAGAAACACTGCTATAAACCTATTGAGACTTTGCTGATCAAGAGGCGGCCTGATTTTGCTCATTTGTTCACTAATTTGCTTTGCTAAATGTCACCCAAAATGTTTCTCAACATAAAGTGTTTCTCGCATGCATGATAAGCCAACAGGTTCACTTAACTGACATCCTTCCCAGGTACACCTACTTTGCCTTTCTTTTACACCTTTCCACCCTGGCATCTGAAGGTAGTTATACATGGATCTAAGTATGTCTGGTTCAGTGGGAACGGGGTGAATTTCGATCCATGTATGGCCATTACTGTTTGGGAGGAGTTAGTCTCATGATCAGCTTCTCCCAAACAGGACAATTGACACTGCCATAATACAATATGGCTGGGGGGTTGGAATTCCCCCATCTATTGCAAAAGTGTGGAGCAAATATTTTTTTTTTTTTTAACCGGCTGGCTGAGAGCAAAACGCCCAGTACCTCTAAGTAGAAGTGATATGTGACTAATTTCCAAGCAGCCATTCAATCCATTCTGGTGGCTCACTACACTTGGGTGCTGACATTTACAGTATACTGCCCATCCAAACCTTGTATACCAAGTGTAGTTGAAAGATGCCACATTCTATAAGCAGCTCATGAACTGAAACAAAATATAAAGTGGCCTCAACCTAGGCTTCTCCCAGGCCAAGCCACTGACATGTTTTGTCCCACCCACAGGACTTAGTTAATAATGTAAAGGTTACATAAGAAATTGATAGTTAAACAATGCATGTTTTATAGAGTTACATCAGGACAAAAAGAGGGACAACTGAGGAATTCAGAGGGACAACTGAGGAAGAAAAAGGGACAAAGGCATTTGGTTCCAAATGAAGGACAGTTGGGACGTATTGCCATGGGACTAATCAAAGAAAAACTGGCACTGTCGCCAATACCCAACATGGCCACAGGTTGCATGCTCCTCTGCACATTGGCGCATGCACGGCGCAATAGTGAGCGCATGAGTGGTGGCACCCGCAGGGCACAATAGATTCTGGTGCCCATTTCGCATTAAAAGTACAGCAATTCTGACCATTAGTTGCTGGATGATTGTCAGCACCGTGTTCCTGTACTCATGTATTGCTATTATTGCACTTTCTGTTGCCGACCCGGATTGCCTTTGACCTGCCTTGTCTCTTCTCCTGGCTCTGACCCCTGGCTTGTTTTACTGATTCTGCCTGATTACCTGTGCATGACCCCAGCTTATCCTCCTGACCTCCCTTCTGCCTGATCACCTGTGTTTGACCTTGGCCTGTTCCTGATCTTGCCTCTTGCTCCTGCTCTCGATTGACCTTCTGTGCATGACCACTGGTCTGGCTCCTGACTCTGCTTCCTGCCTGCTGTCAAGTACTACCTGTCACTTCTGGCAAACATCTGCTCTGCAGTCACTCCTGCTGGTCCTGACATCTTCAGGTGATCATCATTTCAGATCTTCAGGCTCCTACAGCTGGCAACCCATGTTTCTTTGGGCCGATCATCTCCTGTCCCTACCTCCAGGGGTGTTCCGCATGCAGCTGCAAGGAGAGCCCTCTCAGTACTCCGGCCTCTGACCATGTATGTGACAAGTATATATACATATTTATTAAGAAAAATAATGCAGTTTGTTTATGGTCACATTGTTTACATAAAATTATGATTTACTTGTGTAACATATGTGATGTATTCATTTGGACTCACCAGTAATGTGTAACAGCTGGTATCATACTGGTAAAGACGGAATCCTGGGTTATTGGACTCCTTGTCTGATGCAGACTTAATGGGTGTAACAGCTGGTGCAACAAAGACGGATCCAACTGGATTTTCTGAAATAGAATGCAACCAATATTTAAATTGATATTAGTAAATATAAAAGATCGCTATAAATAGCAGTTTATTTTAAAGATATTAGAAGCCAAGTTTATCCAAATGAATATTATAGATTTTGACATCGCTTACAGTCTGTTCACACCTTGAATCACACAGGAATGCACTGTGCAATGTCCCGTCACTGTCCTGTTGCCTCTCCTGCATTTCTTTTCTGTGTTCCCTCGGCACAGTCTGTGTCATTCCTGTTGTTTCCTTCCCTCCTCAGCAGTAGTAAATCTTAAGGCTGTCAGCAAATCAGCCTCTAGAGACTCACTCAGTGCTCTGATATCGGCAGAGTGCCAAGAATACAGGGCCACCGAGGAGGAGACAGTGCCTTACATAGCTATACCTGCAAAAGGGGCTAGCATGAAGTAATCTATCAGGATTTAATTTTGTGTCTAAAGTATATCTACAGGAGTTCCTAGATCCATCTAACTGCCACAACTAATACTAAGTCATATGCGCTTCCATGCTTTTCCAGTAGAGTCTCCTTATTGTAGCACAAACAGCTGTGAGAGGCCATTTAAAAGGCAATATTAAGAGGAGACAGCTGTGTGATTACTTAAGGCATTCATAAAGTGATTTTTTTACAAATAGTGTCCATCTACACTGGCATTTTAACGCCATGCGCTAAAATGGACGTGTCTAACTGTTCCAAAATAAAAATAGTGCCTTTTTCCATCTCAGCATTGCAGTACAGTGCAAATTGAAGAATACGACTTTTTCTACATTTTAATTTGCAGCAACATACACATCAATGGCAGTATATCAAAGCGTGTTTTGATGCATTGGCTACAGGTATTAAGAAGTCTTGGTCAATAACTGTTAACCCTATCAACTCCATATTCTAAATTCAAAAATGCATTGAAAATGTGTACCAGCAAGCATCAAAACACTTGTCAATACACAAAGGAATGACACACGAGACCCCTAAAACAATATCTAAACCTTAAACTAAAGTCCCACGGAGAAGTATTACAGTACTTTTTTTTTTTTTTTCGTTTTTTTTTTTAAACATGCAAAATCTCTTTTGCAAAAAAAAACCAAAAACATTCTCCCATGATTTAGCAAAAAATCTCTTTTGCAAAAAAAAAACAAAAAACATTCTCCCATGATTTAGCATTTTTCTGTATATTCCAGTTTATTATTGGCATTCTAGAAAAAGTGCCAGAAACAATTGAGTACTGACATGATACTTTTTTTATTGGCACTAACATCCAATTTTGAGGACAAGCTTTCGGGGTATGTCCCCTTCTTCAAGGTCCAGGCAGTACTTGAAGAAGGGGACATACCCCGAAACCTTGTCCTCAAAATTGGATGTTAGTGCAAATAAAAAAAGTATCACGTCAGTACTCAATTGTTTCTGTCGCAAGTGCACTAATACGGCTACAATCACCTCTAGAAAAAGTGCCGAATGCCAAGGATGATGTAAATCCTATGTGTCTGTCCCATGCTGTTACTCTTTTCCTGTGCACTATGCAGTGTACATCACAGTTCAGTTTTGCATTCAGGGAATAGACCTGGTAGCCAAGGGTGATGTAAATTCTATGCATATGTGCAGGAGGTGCTCATTAGTGGCCATCCAATGGTCAAAGAGGAGCACCACAGGGCCCAGGAGAAGCAATAGGAAACATGGCAGCAAACGTGGAGTGGACCTGTCACTGCTGGAAGGAGAGCACACAGTAAAGTGGTCAGTATGCCATTTTGAGAAATGATGAGATCTCACCCAATGAAAAATTTTTGTTCCATTTTACCGGGATATGGTTACTTGTTTAAAAAAAAATCCTTCCTAAGTTTTTTGCACAGCTTACATAAAATTTGTTGTTCTTCTAAAGATACTGTAATTTTTCATAAAATTGGTTCTAATGAAAGGTGCGGTTGTACAACAAAATAAAAAAATGCAATTAAATATTATTAGGGGTACTTTCCATAACAAAATTACCTTTATCCAGAACAACCATAATACTGTCACGGTGAGTATGTCCATAAAACTGGCCATCAATAATGTCGCTATAATTGCGAAAGATTTCCACCAGCCGCTCGTTGAAATGGGGTCGCATTGCAGGTATCATTTCTAGAAATGGTAGGTATCCAATAGGAACATGTGCAATGATATATACCTAAATAACAATATTATATGTATTTAAAAAAAACTGATAAATAAGTGATAATGAGAGTAGTAAATAAACAGAACATGCAGTGATAACTAAATCATTTAATCTTGGATTACTGATATCAGATCACTGAAGACAAAGTCTGAGGGTTTGCTATAGGTTAATACACATTACTTTATTCCATTTATGGTACAATTTATTTCTTTATTTGTTAAGAGGAAATTATAATAGTTTGCTACAAATTTTTGATACCAAGCAGAAGATGGATTAAGTTTCACGTGTGGTTGAACACTGAATAAGAAGAAAATATATTACCATGATAGGGACATTTCACTGTACGGATGCTGAGAGAGACTTTTGTTTTGTTTTTTTTATAATAGTTTTGGGGAAATTTTATTTCTTGTTTTGTTTTTATACATTTTTAAACTGACGTTTTATCTTTTTCACTTACAATATCTTTATTATAGAAATAAACCTTTAATACCTTTAATTCCTTTAGATTGTAAACTCCACAAGCAGGGCCTCCTATTCCTGCTGTACTGAAATGTATTGTAATTGTACTGTCTCCTTATATTGTAAAGCGCTGCGCAAACTGTTGGCGCTATATAAATCCTGTATAATAATAATAATAATACTGGGTGCATCCATGACAATAGTGTCACAGAGCATGACTGGTTTCCTGCAAAGCACAGCAGTAGCTGTTTTTCTTCACAATGTCTTTCTTTCAAATGGAAACTCCATAGCAGGCAGGTAGTTATAGGGTAGAAGGGAATGATCAGTCATAGAACAGGAAATTTAGGCTAGATTTCTAGCAGATTAACAGTTTTGTCTGTACTCGCAGCATTTTAAAAGAGATGAAATGTAGAGAAATATGCATGTTTTCCAGAGTGTAATGTGTAATATATACTGTATATAAAGTATACATATACTTTAAAGATGACTAGTAAACATATATACAGGAATGTAGAGCTCAAACTACTGGCCATAACTGTGTAAATATAATATTCATATGCAAATATGTTCAACATATTCACTTCTTAGCCTTGATCTTTGCCCCGATCTCAGATAAGAAATGAAAATACCATACATTCCTTTTAGGCGCATATGCATTTTTCAAGCTCAGTTTCAAGCAAGGCATATCTTTTTAGATATTCACCTCAGTTATCAGTGCTGGCATGAAACTACAGTGGATTCATGTAAAGCGAGACACACAAAGTAATTAGCAGTTTACATGAAAGGGATAGTTTAGATTAAGGTCCCTTTCACACGGGGTAGACCTGACAGTGGATGCGCTTGTTCAATGGGGGATCTGTCTGCTGATCCCCACTGAGCAAGCAGATGACAGGTCTATGTCCCCTCCACTTATGCGGAGCAGACACGGACACAGCCTGCTTTCCTCTGTGAGCGGTCGGATGGAAATGGACCCAGGTCTGTCTTTAATGTGGGTAAAAGGGGCAGCTGCCCAGGGCCCAATCTTTGTTTTGGAGCCCATAACAGCTGCCCCTTGAGCTTGCGCTACATGCAAATTGGGGGCCCTGCAGCCTCTGGTTATCTCCTATAGTACATCTGCGGTCTCTGGTTATCTCCTGTAGTACATTTGCAGTCACTGATCATCTGATGTAGTACATCAGCAGTCTCTGGTCATCTTCTGTAGTACATCTGCAGTCTCTGATCATCTCCTGTAGTACATTTGTAGTCTTTCAGTCATCTTCTGTACTATGCCTGCAATCTCTGGTCAATTCCTGGAGTACATCTGCAGTCTCTGGTCATCTCCTGTAGTACATCCGCAGTCTCTAGTCACCTCCTGTAGAACATCCACACTCTCTGGTCATCTCCTCTACTACATCCGCAGTTTCCTGTAGTATGTCTGCAGTCTCAAATCATCTCCTGTAGTATGTCTACAGTTTCTGACCATCTCTTGTAATATGTTTACTAATGTTCTGCTTTACTTGCTCAAATATTTGGGATTGCTCCACTGCTTTGTGAGCATTAATATAGTGTAGTAACCTCTAGCAACCAGTCAGTGAACAGTAGTAATCTACTGTAATCTCTAGCAACCAATCAGTTAGCAATAATGATGTACAGTAACCTCTTGCAACCAGTCAGTAAGTGGTAATGATGCACTGTAACCTCTAGCAACCAATCAGGGTATTGATGTGCTGTAAGTTCTAGCAACCAATCAGTGAGCAGTAATGATAAGCAGTAATCTATAGCAACCAATCAGTGAGCAGTAATAATGTACAGTAACCTCTAGCAGCCAGTCAGCAAGCAGAAATTATGTGTTGTAACCTTTAGCAACCAATTGCAATTGCTGCGTGATTTGCTGCAGTAAACTGATTTTGAGTCTACCTGCTATTTTTTGTATGTCTCAGAGTGTGGGGGGGGCCCCAAGAAAATTTTTGCCCAGGGCTCAATCGATATTAAAGACAGCCCTGAATGAACTGCCTGTCTGTTTTCTATCTGACTGCCATCCGATACAGTCCAATGGACGAAAGGGGAAAGGGATTCCAATCTGTCTGTTTGGCGGATCAGATGTTGGTGGGTATAAATGGACACATGTTTGTTTACAACCTCTGCTCTATGGAGGAGAATAGAAGTTCCGATCGGGTTCGCCTGAAAAACAGGCAGGCGGACCCAATGGGGATGTCCATGTGAAAGAGGCCTAAAGGATAAGTTCACCTTTTAACAAAAAATAAAAAAAATGCCCATTTTTTTGCAGGTAAAAAATGTGCATTTACTATTTATTGTTTCTGGAGCCACAAAGCATTACACCAGTGATCAGCAGCCATGCAGGAGGGGAGCGGGTACCTGGTTTTGGGTACCTGATCCCACTTTTGCTCATATTGCCTAAGAAGTACCCCCCCCAAAGCTTTTTGGGACACGTCACGGGTCATTCACAAAGTGCAACATACCTTGCACATGCACACTTGGCAGCTGGCTGTGAAACCGCAAACAGTCACAGCCGGCAGCCCACAGTTAGGATGCCAGTGCCGCTGACCAAAGACCGGTGAAGAAACCTGCTCAGGTGAGGACACTGCTGGATCCTTGGACAGGTGAGTGTCCGTAGCTAGAGTTTTTGTAGCTACTGATTTTTAATTTTTGTATACAGGGAGGAAGAACCGATTTAAGTTGGGAGAACAGATAGACTGAGTGTTAGACTGATGGTAAGTTTTGGAGACAAGTGAAAACATGGAGATTGCATGGATGTTTATAATTAAATATATGTATTTTATTAGTACAGAGGGCTCCTCACACAAATGTCCTCTGCTGAGTTTTAGGTACTGAAATGTAATGGACACAGTTCACTAAAGCTTATCGCATAAGTTAAGTCAGTCACATGACCACATATCGCATGCGATACTGAAAATGTCAATTCACTATCGCTCCATAAATACCAAGTAAAAAGACCTTGAAGTCAATTCACAAAAGGAAATAAATAAATAAATGCATGCAGCAATTAAGTACTGGTCCATTCTTGCGGTATGTACTGTTATCTGTCAGTACTGTCATGGGTTGTTAAGGAATGGGTGGCCGCTGAGTCCCTAACAGCCTATGAGTCATCAGCTGTCAGCGGGGTTCCCCACTGACAGCTGAATATGAAAAAAAATTGCCAGCAATTAAAAAACGATGTGCGGTCTGTCCCCTCCATCCATACCAAGCCCTTCGAGGTCCGGTTTGGATTTTATTAAAAATGGTGTGGGGTGCCCTCTAAAATCCATTCCAGACCCTTATCCTAGCATGCAGCCTGGAAGATCAGGAAATTGGGGGGGGACAAGCGAGTGCTCCTTTTTCCTGAACCATACCAGGCCATATGCCATAAACATGGGGGGGGTGCTTTGGGGCAGGGGTGCTCCCCCCAAAAGCACCTTGTCCCCATGTTGATGGGGACAAGGGTCTCTTCCCCACAATCTTGAACGGTGGCTGTGGGGATCTGCAGGCAGGGGGCTTATCGGAATCTGGAAGCCCCTTTAGCAAGGCCCCCAGATCCCTCCCCCCCACTATGTGAATGAGTAGGGGGTACATGGTACCTCTACCCATTCACAAAAAAAGAAAATGTAGTGTGAAAAAAGACAGGAGACAGGCTTTGACAAGTCCTTTATTAAAAGATGGAAAATAAAAGAATGTCCACCGAAGTAAATCCAACATCAATCATGATGCCCGCCGCCACTACCCGAAAAAAAAATAAAAAAAAAAGGCTCCTCTCCCGATGCTGGCTCCTGGCCATCTAACTGCTCCGCTGGCTTGACAGTTCTTAAATATGTAAGGGGAGGGGCCACCCAGTGACATCACGCATGTGACCCCGTCCTCATGTAACATCATTGACCTAGCATGCCCCGGTCGAAGATGTTACATGGGGTGGGGTCACACAGGTGATGTCAATGGGTGGCCCTGTCCCTTATATATTTAAGAACTGTCAAGCCAGCGGAGCAGTCAGACAGCCAGGAGCCAGCGTTGGGAGATGAGCCTTTTTTTCTTTTTTCGGGTCGGCGGTGGGCATCGTGATTGACGTTGGATCTACTTCGGGGGACATTCTTTTATTTTCTTTCTTTTAATAAAGGACTTGTCAAAGCCTGTCTCCTGTCTTTTTTCACACTACAGGTTTTTTTTTGTGAATGGGTAGCGGTACCATGTGGGGGGGCTGGGATCTGGGGGCCCCCTTGTTAAAGGGGGCTTCCAGATTTTGATAAGCCTCCCACCTGCAGACCCCCACAACCAATGGCCAGGGCTGTGAGGAAGAGGCCCTTGTTCCTATCAACATGGGGGCAATGTGCTTTTCGGGGGGCCCCCCTGCCCCAAAGCACCCACCCATGTTGAGGGCATGTGGCATGATATGGTTCAGGAGGGGGCGCTTGCTCATCCCCCCCTATCCTGACCTGCCAGGCTGCATGCTCGGATAAGGGTCTGGTATGGATTTTAGGGGGGCCCCCACGCCATTTTTTTTTTTTTTAAATTTTGGTGTGGGAGTTCCCCTCAATCCATACCAGACCTGAAGGGCTTGATATGGATGGGGGGGACCCCACGCCCGTTTTTAAATTATTTTTAATTGCTGCCAATTCTTTCTTTTACATTCAGCTGTCAGTGGGGAACCCCCTTGACAGCTGAAACATTAACGCATGGTTTTCACTACTAAAATACCACATGACTTGATAAAATAACTCATGCGTATTTTAGTAGCATTTTTTAGTGAATTGAAATGTGTTTGTTTTTTTTTAAATGCTGTGCGGTATCCTACCACATACTCGGATGCGGTAAGGTACCGCTTAGAGCATTGTGCCCCATATGTTGGATGCAAGGATTGTCCCGGTATACCTGAAAATACAATTGTTTACTTAAAGAGACACAAGGATTGATTCACTAAACTGGAGAGTGCAAAATCTGGTGCAGCTCTGCATAGAAACCAATCAGCTTCTAGGTTTTAATCGCCAAAGCTTAATCGAACAAGTTAGAAGCTGATTAGTTTCTTTGCAGAGCTGCACCAGATTTTGCACTCTCCAGTTTTAGTAAATCAACTCCACAGTCACCTCGCCATTTAGAGCATAGGGACTAGATCTTTTTGATATGACATCGCTGTACCCTGCACTACTCTCATGCTGCTTCTACCTCCAAGTTATATGAAAATCTTAACTGTTCCTTTAAAGATACAGCTAAACACAACTCTCCTATCTCCTAGGTCTTCCAATTGGTGCCTAAGGAAGAAAAGAAAAGTTGGGCTTACTATATAACCTTTATGTCTGGATATACAGATATAACAAGCAGTTTTGACTAAAGGTAACATCTGCATTTGTACCAGGTTGTATTTCTGAATTAGACTTTAGTCTGGAAGGATCACAAGACACCCATCCAAAAGTGAACAAAATTACAAGTAAAATAGTTCACATATATATTATTCAGTTATGTATTCGACTGTATGAGTGAAGATCACTATAGCATTTTTAGGAGGTGAGTGAACTAAAATGATAGGAGGCAAGACCTGTAACCTGCAAGAAGCATATTAGAACAGTGCTACATGACAGATATTCCTATGAATGATACAACAGCATGTGAAGAATATGCATATACCAGCATGCTTTGTGGGATCCCTCTAGGAAAAGACAAAGTAAATATATCATGAGAGAACTACAAAGACCACCATTATTAAACCACTTCTGAAACATTTTAGTTACCTGGCTCTTGTTGCTGACCCTTCAATTTCTGAGTCTCTGGCCTAAAACACATTAACAGAGTAGAGCAGCATACAGGAAAGACATGATAATGTTTCAGGAGAACTATTTTCCTGTAGTTGGATGTTCTAACACATGAAATGCAGTAAGTCTTGCTGTTGTTTTTTTTGTTATTCTTATTCGCTATATTTGAAATGCTTGTGCAAACGACTTTTTGGGGGACCTACCATTTTGTTATAGATATATAATTTCTACCAGTTCCTAAAAGCATTGCTCTAATAAATATTACCTTTGGTTATTGCCATTTAGAATATAAACACAGTTATTAACACTCTAGTGTCTATTACCTTTTCAGAATTTTGGCGAGAAAATTGCAGTGTCTCCTCCAGCCATGCAAACTGATCAGCTGGGTCAGTAATGTTGAATGTCTCTTTATTGGGACTGTAATACAGATTTGTGTTTAAACTGATTATTCTTAGAGGTATACCAACTGTGTTTGCCTTGTAGATCTGAGAATAGTATCCTCCTGATTGGGGAAAAAAAGAATAGGAAAATGAGATGGATATTATCTCCGTATAACAGTTAAAAATAAAATAAAATTCAAGGGAGGGCTGGCAAGAGGACAATAAACACAAATACCTGGGCCACTGTTATGATGATTAGGATACAGCACAAGTAAGGCAACAGGGCCTCTTTCAATATGCAGATATTCAGCCAATAAAGAAGCCAGTATGATCCCTATATATAGAACCGATATAGCTGCTTAGTTTCTGTCACTCCAATGAATATATTTATCTTGGTTCCTTATGCAGATACTGCTGCCTGGCGACTCTCCTAATCCAGCAATTAGCTTCCCTACATAGATTCACACAGGAAAGCCCCATTTTGAGTCCATTCAAAGGTCTTATTTTAATTGAAGCCCTGAGGAAGAAAGAGTTTTTTTAGCCCCCCCCAAATGCATTAGGTGTTTTTTAGTGTAAACCAATAAATTAATTTGGACTCCTATAATTCGGTCTGGTGCTTCTTTCATTGGTGTAAGTTTTTTTCTAGGTGATATTACTGGCCTATTTAAACTATATGTGAGTGTAGATACTCACACCATGGCTATCAGGTTAATGAAAATGCTAATTCATCAAGGTTGATCCTTATGTAATGTTCCAATAATTGCTGGGCAACATTACAAACCCTGCAGAACGACACATCTAAAATGATTGTGTTGATGTGTATTTTTGTAAAATTTGCTTTGTGATTTGGTGAAATATTGCAATACAACTGATGGGAACAATTCATTCTTCTTTCTCTATGAAGCAAGAGCACAAGATAATAAGCTTACTTATATACTAATTTTATTCCAATGGATAACCCTTATGCATATTATCACAGAAAAAAACAGAGCGAGTGATGTTTTTTTTATTCTCCGTACCACAATGCACCACATTTGGACAGCACCCCGTTCTCAGGAAACAGTGAGGGCTGATATCTGAGCTCTGCCTAAACTCAACATTAGTAATAGCCACAAATTAGGCTTCATCAGGGCAGGAACAGAGAAGCTGTAAATCAAGGAATGAAGAAAGGATTCCCTTCACATTTTTATAGAAAGGCAGGCCAATATGGATATTTAGACATGAATTCAAGGACCTGTATTTAATTTTTTAATGCGCATGAGAATTCATCTTTAAAAAAATTTCTCTTTTTATAAAAGAAACAGCATGCAGCCTATAATAGCATTATTTAGCATTAGTTTTACTAAAAAAAAAAAAAACTCACTTCACAAGGAACAGAAAAGATTATATAGGTCTGTCCAGGACAAGATGATGTTTAAACATGGCCCGACTAACATGTAATGCATCTACATAAATATAGCCTTTGTTTTAAGGATACCCTAGATCAGGCCTTGAAATTTGCACTTGCCTGCTCGCATTGGCGAGTGGAAATTATGGTGGGGGCGAGTGTGCCCCCAGGGCCGTCTTGCTGAGCAGGCTCGGAGCTCAGGCCGGCTCTGTCACTCGCACTGGGAGCCATCAGACTACTCAATAGCTTAACGCAGTGAAAGCAAAGCAAGGAGTGTGTGCTGTGCTATCTTCCTCTCCCTAGAGTGCAGTACCCGACTCTGTGAGTGAAGGTAAGGAAGTACTTTTGATAGGGCTGTGTGTGTATGTGCGTACGTGTGTGTGTGTATGTGCATGTGTCTGTGTGTATGTACATGTGTCTGTGTGTATGTGTGTATGTATGTACGTGTGTGTGTGTATGTATGTACGTGTGTGTGTGTGTTGTGTACATGTATCTGTGTGTATGTATCTGTGTGTATATGTGTGTGTATGTACATGTGTGTGTGTGTGTGTATGTATGTGTGTATGTGTGTGTGTATGTCGTCATGTGTATGTACATGTGTCTGTGCATGTGTATGTACATCTGTGTCTGTGCATGTGTATGTACATGTGTGTGTGTCTGTACATGTGTGTGTCTGTAAATGTGTGTGTGTGCATGTGTCTGTGTGTGTACATGTGTCTCTGTGCATGTGTGTGTGTGTGCCTGTGTGTGTACGTGTGTGTACACATGTGTGTGTATATGTGTCGGTGTGTAAACATACATGTATAGCTGGTTTGGTCAGGTTCAGGATGATGTGGTTATTATGGGTGTTGGGGCATTTGAGGTACTGCTGGGTTGGAGAGAACGTAGGATATGCTTGGTAGAGTTGTAGTTTTGTGAGTGAAATATTATAGGGGGTTATGGTTGTATGCGGTGCATGGTCTAAGTATGATGGAGTGTTTAGTGGGGCATTGGAAGTCCCAATGTAATGTGGGGGGACTTTGGGGACCCTGATGTAATGTGGGGGGACTCTGGGGACCGGGATGTAATGTGGGTAACATGTAACAGTGTCATATCATGAGATAATTTACAAGAGTGTGTTTAGGGGCAGAATTAGGGACGAGGCAGGGTAATGGTTGGGTGGGGAAACTGGTGGCGAGAATCTTTTAAAGCCTGGCTAGTAGCTCGGGACTTGAAATTTTGAGCCCTGTCCTAGATCTCAATGGGAATTTTTTTTGTTACTTGCTATGCATCCCCTTTGTGTGGCAGTAAAAACATTAAAAAAAAAATAGGGGAAGCAAGCACAATTCAGAGATATATTGTGTCACATTGGGAAATTGCAGTACTCTTTTTTTTCTATTGTGTTTCCTCCTTGGGCAAAGTCACGTAGACATGAAACTATCAAATGACCACAAGTAATGTTGTTTCACCTTTCCGGAAAGTTGTGAGAGCTTCATCACACAGCCAGGGTTTCCAAAACTCAGCAACTGCTGTGTAAATTTCACTGCCTGAAACAGGCAGCTGATCCTAATAGCACAGAAAAAAAGAACCTTCTGTCAGGTAATCTCTCATAAAAACAGTAACATAATCATATACACATTAAAATGCAACTGTATTTTTGTTTAAAAAAAATATCATACCATATGACATAACAATGGCTAAACATGTTCATATGTTTTTTGTAAACCATTGTAGTAGCTGAGTTATCAGCCAGCTATGATTTTCTAAAATTGGCAAAATAAAACTGAATGTGACTTTTGCATCAATGGGACTAACAATGTGATTATATGAAGAAGACCCTCTCATTGGAACACAGGAAGTAGAAGCAGCTGCAGAAAGAAAGTGGAAGGAAGCAAGTAGGAGTCAGAAACCATATGTGAAATGGCAGCAGGTAGGAGTCAGTATTGACATTTGCTGAAAGCAGTTAGTCTGAGAAGACTAAGGAGTCAGTAGAATTAAGTTCCAAACGATGCCTCTGTTATGAGAGAGGCACTTTGGGTAAGGATATATTAGGTAGGCAGAGAACATCTTGGGTTAGTTTCCATGAGGAGAATGATTACTAGTTGTCTCTTTGGATGCTCCAGACCAGAAAAACATGTAGGCAGATGGACCTTATTAGCTAAGATTCCAATTTAGGGAGGATGCCAATAGAAGCTGAAGGACTGTATGAATTTTAGGGGACTATTTTTTTCCCTGCTTAGGAATTCTGGAATCTGGGAATTACTTCTCTGTGCATAATGGGCCTCTCAAGATCCCTCTCATGTCACATCACTCTGAACTATGCCTGGACTGTTTGTAACTTAAAAGAGAAGTATGGAATTAATTTTTTCCCCCATTATACTTACCTAGGTGGATGAAGCATCGGTGCGATGCTTCATCGATCCCCCACTGGCTTTAAGGGTGAGAACTCAGCGATCACATGATCGCTGATAGCTGAGTTCTCCTCTCCGCTCTAAGTAGAGAATGGGACTCAGTCACCACTCTCTGCTCCCCTCCCCCACATGCTCACTGGAGTGCTGGGCTGTGGAAGGCTTGCTCAGGTTCTCAGTGCTTCTCTGAGAGGCTGAGCTAGGTGCCGCTCCAGATTCTGAGGTGGATCCCGGCTGTGAAGGCGGAATCTTTCCCCAATCTGGACAGGCTGAGTGACATCAGCCAACAGCGGACTTCAGTCCACTGTCAGCTGAAAATGGGTCATAGGAGTGCAAAATGAATTGCACTTCTGTGATACACATGAGAAGTACAGCCAAAAGAGCATCGGCTGTACTTCTCCTTTAAGCTGAGTGCAGACACCTATAGGCAATGGCTGATGTGTTTAAGTATCTTTGTTTCTATTGATTCTGTAAACTGTTAAAGGATATTCCTGATGTGGACTTTTCCTTCTCTTAACATTTAGGTATAGTTGTCTTCTAGAAACAAAACTTTTTTTGTCCAGTGGGAAAAGCTGAGTCTATTGATGTAAGGCCTGAAGCAGGTGTACAGAGAACTATCAATAGTTACCTGTTAAGCCAGGATGCTTCACCCCAGAGGCATCCCCAAATGCAAAGGAGAGTAGGATAGTTCCCCAAGAGGGCCCCATGCCCAAGGTATGCTGTTAATAAATGGTCACTACCCCTAGGTCTGGCCAGGTGCTGGTCTGATGGTGGATGCACTCCCCCACTACACAACAAATGTTAGGCTGCATTTGCACGGGTGTTACTGATTCTTGTGAATGGGATTGACAGCTGTGTGTGAATAGCTGTGGCATCCAAGTCCATACAGTGGAATGACAAGCTGCTGAATATTCTTGACTGTTCAAATAGCCTGGGATTAGTTGCAGTGATTGTGGCTAGATGCATACATAGTGTGTGTCTTTTCCATTGGGATTTGCAGCATGGTTAAACACTCGTGTGATTGCAGCCCTGCTAAACAAGTATAGTTATACTTGTGGAACTACACTGCAATTGGGCATTAAAAACCAAAAATGCTATTTAATTCAATTTTAATATTCAAAGCAAATGCATCAATCCATCCATGTCTACACGCGTTATTGTGTAGAAACCACTTTGAAAAACACCCCCTTCGCTTTTCTGTCCATGGCTATCCTGATTCATGTAAAAAACAAACAACAATTTTTCAGCACACTTACTGGCAAGCCGGCAAATTAACCAATTTGGCACTTTCTAGCAATTTATAAAAACAGGGTTTTTTTCCAGGTACACACCAGCCCTTAATCTATCCAATGCTATATGTTCTCCAACTTTGGAGGCTCTGAAAATTATAGAGTTAGGACTGCTGTATACAGAGGAGCCTTGACATGGGCACAGCAGCATATGCATATATTTTCAAATGTGTGCAAACAAAACCCTGTTTTTAACTTGAAATGTTAAACAGGGTCAGTTTGGTTGTTTTGCAAGCTGGCTGGCAAGTATGCTGGGAAATCTTTTGTTTGTGATGTGTGTTGCCCTTCCACATGCACCTTACAGTAAAGGCTAGTTAAAGGTTGGGGTGGTTTTGACTCTTTTTGTACAGATGATCCATGTAGCATTTACTTCTTCAAATCCTTTCTTCCTTAGCTCAGGCATGCAGGTAGAAAGGTGCGCATAGTTGAGAAAACCCCTCCCCCTCCTGAAGAATCTTGTGATATATGATATTATTTGCCTAGCCTGGGAAGCCAGGAAATAACTCAAGAAAAAAAATGTAAAACAACTAAATATTATTATTATTATATACAGTATTTTACAGTCAGGTCCATAAAATTGGGACATCGACACAATTCTAACATTTTTGGCTCTCTTAACACTACCACAAGGGATTTGAAATGAAAGGAACAAGATGTGCTTTAACTGCAGACTGTCAGCTTTAATTTGAGGGTATTTACATCCAAATCAGGTGAACGGTGTAGGAATTACAACAGTTTTTGCATATGTGCCTCCCACTTGTTAAGGACCAAAAGTAATGGGACAATTGGCATCTCAGATGTTCTATGGCCAGGTGTGTGTTTATGCCCTCATTATTCCAATTACAATGAGCAGATAAAAGGTCCAGAGTTCATTTCAAGTTGCTATTTGCATTTGGAATCTGTTGCTGTCAACTCTCAAGATGAGATCCAAACAGCTGTCACTATCAGTGATGCAAGCCATCATTACGCTAAAAAAACAAAACAAACCCATCAGAGAGATAGCAAAAACATTTAGGCGTGGCCAAAACAACTGTTTGGAACATTCTTAAAAAGAAGAAATGCACCGGTGAGCTCAGCAACACCAAAAGACCCAGAAGACCACGGAAAACAATTGTGGTGGATGACCAAAGAATTTCTTTCCCTGGTGAAGAAAAACACCCTTCACAAACAGTTGGCCAGATCAAGAACACTCTCCAAGAGGTTAGGGTGTATGTGTGCCCAAAGTCAACAATCAAGAGAAGAGATTCACCAGAGTGAATACAGAGGTTTCACCACAAGATGGAAACCATTGGTGAGCCTCAAAAAAAACAGGAAGGCCAGATTACAGTTTGCCAAACGACATCTAAAAAAGCCTTCACAGTTCTGGAACAACATCTATGGACAGATGAGACCAACATCAACTATGTACCAGATGTAATGGGAAGAGAAGAGTATGGAGAAGGAAAGGAACTGCTCATGATTCCAAAAAGCATACCACCTCATCAGTGAAGCATGGGCGGTGTAGAGTAGTGTCATGGCAAATGGGCTTGTATGGCTGCCAATGGAACTGGTTCTCTTGCATTTATTGATGATGACTGCTGACAAAAGCAGCAGGATGAATTCTAAAAGTGTTTCGGGCAATATTATTTGCTCATATTCAGCCAAATGCTTCAGAACTCATTGGGGATGCCCCTTCAACAGTGCAGATGGACAATGACCCAAAGTATGCTGCAAAAGCAACCAAAGAGTTTTTTTTAAGGGAAAAGAAGTGGAATGTTATACAATGGCCAAGTCAATCACCTGACCTGAATCCGATTGAGCATGCATTTTCACTTGCTGAAGACAAAACTGAAGGGAAAATGCCCCAAGAACAAGCAGAAAACTGAAGACAGTTGCAGTAGAGGCCTGGCAGAGCATGTGGGAAAACCCAGCGTCTGGTGATGTCTATGCGTTCCAGACTTCAGGCTGTAATTGACTGCAAAGGATTTGCAACCAAGTATTAAAAAGTGAAAGTTTGATTTATGATTATTATTCTGTCCCATTACTTTTGGTCCCTTAACAAGTGGGAGGCACACATGCAAACTGTTGTAATTCCTACACCGTTCACCTGATTTGGATGTAAATACCCTCAAATTAAAGCTGACAGTCTGCAGTTAAAGCACATCTTGTTCGTTTCATTTCAAATCCATTGTGGTGGTGTATATAGAGCCAAAAAAGTTAGAATTGTGTCGATGTCCCAATAATTTATGGACCTGACTGTATAAAGAGCCAATAGTTCGCTCAGCGCTGTACATTACAAAGGGGGACAGAACATGTGACAGAACAATACCAATACAATGCAAAACATGAGGGGATTGGGGCCCTGCTCTTTCGAGCTTACAATCTAGGAGGGAGGGGATGGTGGCACAGGAGGAGATAGCTGTGGGGGATGGGGTGGTAGGAAGAGTGGAGGAGGTCGGCAAGTTAGCAGGGGGTGGGGTAGGCTTCCCTGAAGAGGTGGGTTTTCAGGATGCGCCTAAACGAGAGGAGAGTAGGTGATAATCTGATGGGTTGGGGCAGGGAGTTCCAGAGGATGGGTGACACCCTGGAGAAGTCCTGGAGGCAGGCATGGGAGGAAGAGACCAGGGAACTAGAGAGAAGGAGGTCTTGTGAGGAGTGTGTGTGCTGGGTGGTACTTGGATATTAGGTCAGTGATGTAGTACGGGGCAGTATGGTGGACAGCTTTGTACGTCAGTGTTAGGATTTTGAATTTGATCTGTTGCGCAATCGGAAGCCAGTGGAGGGATTGGCAGAGGGGTTGGCGGAAATGGAGCAGTTGGAAAGGTGAATGAGTCTGGCAGCCGTATTCAGGATCGACTGAAGCGGGGATAGCCAGCGGCGAGGCAGGCCA